CTCATCCCACCAGCCTGTCCCCACGCCATGCGAGGGCAGATCAGCCGCGCCGGCTGAGCAGGTAATTCAATACTTTGGTTTCCCATTAGTCGGTGCACAGCCCGTGCCGTGCCGCCTGCGCACTGCTGGGAGCCTGCTCTGAATACTAAACTGTTCATTTTCCTGTGATTTTTCTTCTGGCGCTTGTAAATATACAGGCAGAGTGTTTTACAAATATTGAGGAACATCTTTTCGGTCCCTATGAAATCAGAGGCCGCATTCCCCATTTTGCACACACAATTGTGATGCAAAGGAATGAATGAAAACATAAAAACCCACGGATTTGAGGAGCTGACTTTGCAAAACCCACTTCTGAGCTTTTCAGGGTACAAAGCCCTTTCCTTCTGCCCCTCAACCAGTGGTCGCAAGCCAAGGGATATTCACCTCTCTCCCAACATAGCCCAGATTTTCATGTGTTGCTGCTTTAATGTTGGGTGTGGTAATGCTCAGTGGGTCTTTTTTTCTTGTTGTCAGAGTGAAATCCTTTAATGGTGCCAGAAGGTGCCCAGAGCATGGTGGAAGAGCCCTGCAGCCAGTCTGCCCGAGGTTGGACCCTGGGACCTCGTGGGCAGTGGCCACAAGAAACTCTTCGCAAGCCTGGATGAGCCAGGGCACCCTCACAAAAGAGCTGGGCTTTCCCCGCTGAGTCAGAGGGCTCCGAGAGCCTCACAGCCTTGCTTCACGCCAGCCTGGAAGCAGCCAGACACCCCGCTCTGGACAGACACCCCCTTCCCTCCAGGGCAGCACAGGGGCACATGTTTTGTGCAGAGCCCAAAAGCAAAAGTATTTTAGGACCGATGCTGGAAATGGTGCAGCCTGCTGCACGTCTTTGCCATGTCCCCCTCCCCTCACGCGCTCTCTTTTGTCTGTCCATCTATGCTGAAAGGAGCCACGGGACCACCCAGCCGCCCAGCACTGAGCGGTTGGCTTTCACACCCCCCCGTGCTTTCATTTTTCCTCGGTGTAACACTGGCCGGGCTGCAGCCAGCGTTAAATGTTATGTATCTCATTCGTACCGCTGAACCTGTGCCGCCTGGCTGCCAGCAGGGACACCTCTGAAACAAACTAAATAGTTTTTTTTCTTTTTCCTTTTTGATAAAAGAAAACATTACCTTTCTGAGATTTACGCACTAGATAAGCATAAACCTGAATTATCTCCCTCCTCTTTTTTTTTTCCAGGGAGCAGATAATAGGTAAATCCATCCATCCATCTGCTTTGTTACACATCGCCCAGCTTGGCAGCATTTCTGTTGCTATTACACCATGTTCATCCCCCTTGACATTTAAAGGGCCGTTATATGATCACTGTCACAGCCTCGTACGTGGATCCTTAAACCAATTCTCTCCT